GAGAGAGAGAGAGAGAGAGAGAGAGAGAGAGAGAGAGAGGAGAGAGAGGAGAGAGAGAGAGAGAAAAGAGAGAGAGAGAGATTCACGAGTCGTTTGGTTTAAACACATTACGGATGTAGGCAGTACGAAGCTCTATAGCTGTATTACTGATGTAGGCAGTGCGAAGCTCTAGCTGTAGCCTCGGCCGCTTTTTGTTCTGCTGGCGCTAATGGAAAATAATATCGTGTAATAACTGTTCGAATGTCGAGACCAACTTGACGACACTAAACTGAATCGACAACCTATGAACGATAACACCGTCAGTACGAGACTGAATCCGAATTCTAATGACGCTAATGCGCACTACATGCATGTAAGTTCAGTCACTACACGATCCTAGTTAGTGTCGGAATTCCTAAACTGACATTTTCAGCTTGACACGAACGCCAGACTTCACAGACGCAGTTATGAGGTTCAATCAATAAGGTTAAAGGGATAGTAGACTCTAGGATTTTACTGCATACAACTGCACTTACTGTATAACAAATCGTCTATACCCACACGTATTTGTTACCAGATACCTAATTTAATTGTTATAATTAATTACATATCAACGCTACGAAATTTCAACGGCGCCATGACACCCGTGACCGTGCTGCCACCCCGAAAAAGTTGGGTGTTGCTATCCCCCGGGCGTGGAGGGACGGTACCGCAACGTGGCAGCACTAGTGTTAAGATTAGGGTTAGGATCAGGGTTATGGTTAGGGTTAGGGTTAGGTTTAGGGTGAGGGTTAGGGTTTGGGTTAGGGTAGAGTCCCTATATACAGAGAGTTGCGCCAACTCAGGATTTGACTCCATGTTGTTTCCAAATGTATCCACACCGCTGCCGCTTAAGTACAGCGCTGTATGGATACGCTGTACAATGGTCCGTAGTAACTAATTGACTAATCGTGCTTCAAAAAACTCAAAATTTACAGAGATTATAGCTAAGACATGTGTCTATGTGTATCTAGATTTCTAGAAATGTAACTCAAATCGTTCGCACGATATGATAGTTTAATTGTACACTTTCTTACCGCCATAGCCGTGCGTATCTAGTTGGAAACAACATGTCGTCCAGCGACCACGTGACCGATAGTTTTTCGACTCGTCATGGCGCAACTCTCTGTATATAGGGACTCTAGGTTAGGGTTAGGGTTAGGGTTAGGGTTTTTGCATCATGATATCTGTCCCCACACCATAGATTAATTTTTGTGGATGACATCCCTATATATAGAGATCCGATATATAGATATTTAGTGTTAGGGTTAGTGTTGGAGTTAGGGTTATTGTTACTGTTAAATTTTGAAGTATACGTCAACTGTATCACGTGACCGTCCCTCCACGCCCGGGGGATAGCAACACCCTTAAGTTTTGAAGTATACGTCAACTGTATTACGTGACCGTCCCTCCACGCCCGGGGGATAGCAACACCCAAAAAAGTTGCGTATTTGACAATTTATTTTGCACGTTACAGACCGAGGCACCGCCGCGACGCACACGCACACCCATCACGCGCACTCTGCGCAGCGCGGCACACGCACACGCACACGGCACACACGCACACGACACACACACACACACACACCACACACCACATACACACACACACACACACACATAGATTATATATATCATATATATCAGTATCAGGAGAGTACTACGATGAATATATTTGTCATGTGTATAACCTCACGTGCATATAGTATATATATTCAACGGAGTACTAATAGGAAGATAGGAGTGAGTTTAGTTCCCTATTATCTACTCCTGATATATATTTAAATCCGGGACAGCGGCTTGTAAGGCTGTGCCGGCTGCAATTGGATAGGAGCATCCATTCCAGGACCGACCCGTCCATCGGCAAGCAGCGATTAATGTGAGCACTGGCTATATATTTTTTATATATATGCTTCTATTTGAATTGTATTTTCAG